ATGTTTTTAGTGCTCATCTGAACTCAAGAGCTAAGAAAGCTGAATTGGCTGAAAACTATTTCCAAAACCAAGCTGTCTTGCATTTTGTGCCAGAAGTATGTTTTCATGTGAGAAGAGTAAAGTTTAGTTACATGCATTTCATTCTTTTCAGAAAGTTTATAATACTATCTGAAAGTTAAGCAGATATTTCACACGATGATACCTTGTCCTCAAGCTCATCTTTGAGAACAGGTTTTCTGGTTACTGGAGATACTTCGAGTTATCAGCTACATTTTCAAATGTGACAAGAGGGAAGCAAATAATTTGCAAAAGGAAGCTTCACTATTTCTTTACAAGCAGCCTTCAACTCTCCCACCATTAAGAAAATACCTAGTGAAAAGCTGGTAAACTACGCTGAAACAGAACCACAAGCAATTCATAATAAAATTTGAATACTAACACCTCTAACCTCTCACCTTACTGCATGACCAAGATTTTACTTACATTATTATCTATCGTCTCCTTTAGTCTTGTGAGATCTTCCATGGCTGCATCCCAATTCTGCATCAGAATTTCAGATGCCAGTTTTCCCCACAGAGAACTCAAAGCATTTCTGTCTGTTGCTGGAACCTATTTTCAACAGCAGCAACAAAATCACACTCTTAGCAATTTTTCTTAATTATTATTTATTTTTAAAAAAGAAAAATATTTTCTGGCAGTATTTTTAATTTACAAGATATCAGACTTGCAGGGTCCTATCTTTCTAAATTAAGTGCTTCTGAAATACTAAAAGAAGGTTTCTAACAAAGCAGTCTCCTAAGGAACTCATGGCAGTAGGTAACCACCTTAAAAAAAGCCAGTACTCAACGTTCTTTCTGCTAACGCTGTGCCAAGAAGCATATTTTTTAAAGAAATCCAGTAAACCTGCGATTTTGCTGTAGTGAATCTGTTTCCTGGAAGGGTACTCCTAAGGTCAATCTGTGTTAGTTTTATCCAGGACTATACAGAATTACACTAGGTCACTCAAGAGTGTCAAATTCTGTTCTCAGATCAGTTGCAATAGTTCTTTCATAGGTTACTTTTCATCACACAGAACTTTAAACAAATCTTCAATCAGAATTAATAATGTAAGTCTCACACCAAGCTTTATGAAATTAGTTATTTGACACATAAGAACATAATGCTAAGCCCAGAACTAAGGCATGAAGACTTAAGGACAGCTGGTCACAAACCTACATATACAACTTACTTTGTCTCTCAGCATACAGAACATGCTTGTAACACTGACTAAGCCTTATCATCAAAACTTAAGAGTAAGAATTCAACTCATTCCTACTTTAAACCCCGTTCTGATTAAAAGATATACTTTCCAATTTTTCTTCTTTAATTATAGTCAATTACAGGAATTATTATTTACCCTATCAGTATTTCAGAAAGTTAAGGGTCTAGAAATTAGCAAGAAACAAACCTCAACATATGAGCCACTACTTAGCTTCAGTAATGGCCCCACATACCTATGAGTAAGAAATACACCGTTCAAAAGTAACAAAGGTGTCAAATTAGCTAATACTTTTTAGCTGGTAAGGCTCACATACACACTGCTGGTTCCAAATCATGTAAATACAGTTACCTATTCACAGTAACTTCCTTTAGATACTGCAGCTGTTTTAGCTACAGTACCTGGATTTTCAAGCAGTTACCTTAAACTTCCATTTGTTAATAAAATGGCACATTCACTGACCACCAATAATAAATTTACTGTGTTGAGATTCTTACAAGACACCAAATCTACATTCTCAAAACTCACTCCCACCACAAGTTATATGAATTACAACAACATGAGAAGCATTGCTTCAGAGACTACAATTCTCACTTAAGCTGTTTACATTTCCTAGGCAAATGACTTACATTTTTCATTCTATCACAAAATTCAAGAGAAGACAGATGAGAGTTCAGATGATAAGTTGACAATTCATTACCACCAATTACACTCAATCCACCTGCAAGCTTTTCACTACTGTGGATTACATCTGTGCACAAAACAAGTGCTCATTTTGCTGCTAGTGTTTGTTTTGGGGTTTTTTGTTTTGTTTTTGTTGTTTTGTTTTGGTTTTTTTTTTACATTTGCAGTGAGGAAAGTGATTCATATTTATATATTACCACAAGACCTACAAATTAAGTTCTAAATTCAGCATGAAAATAAAAGAAGTGGTGGGCAATAGTTAGTGATGATTATTAACAATTATTTTTGACTTTTCTGTAATGCACAGTAGTCTCAAGAAAGGTCAAGTATTAGATTTTAATTATTAGTATAGACACTGGTCTAAGTATTTCATTAAAACAAACAACCACAATTTCCCCTTCCTCCCCAAGCAAACTAAGAACCCAAACTTACCAGAACCCTAAAGAAGTAGAGATATTCTGCAGCTCCTGAGTAATTACCACATTCATACTGGAATTTTGCATACCTGTAGAGTGTATCTAGGTACTCCTGCCTAAACTGAAAAGGAATACAAAGAGAGCTTTTCTTCACTAGCGTAAAAGAAACATGTTGTTGTTGCAAGCCAATTTTAATAGTTAGTTAACCTTTGAAGTGTTTAGGTTCTTTGAAAGATGCTGTACCCAGGAAAGGCAATATTAAACTATTATACACTTAATCCATAACACCAAATGAAAGATTATACCAATACTGGAAAACCAGTGAAATTCTGCGTGACAAAGTAAAGCACATTTTAGTTACAAGTATGCAGCTAACATTAAATTACAGCTTTATTTTTATTCGTATAAAAATTAAAAGCTTAAAGGCATTCAAATAAAATACATTAGCATTAGGAATTCTGTCTATTTACTACATTGACATGAGACAGGCCAAAATGTTAGACCACAGTTGCTCAAAGGTCTTGCCTGTGAGGGAGGCTGGGTGGAGATACTTAGAACTGAATTCAAACAGCTAAAAAGAATTAACACACTTACACCATGCTTCTCAGCTAAATAGTCAAACAGCATCCGACCATCCCTATAAGGAAAAAAACAAAACTGTTTTTACAAAACAAACTGATTGCCACCATGCAACACACTCCACAACACAATCTTTAGTACTTAGAACTAAAATATCCAAAGAGAGCATAAATGTAAATGATACTCCTCCACTTGGTCATGCTTTTTGCAGTTGCTTTTGCACAGCAGGTCAAAGGAGGTGATCCTGCCCCTCTACTCTGCTCTTGTGAGACCTCACTTGGAGTATTGTGTACACTTCTGGTGGCCTCAAAATAAAAAGGACATGGAGCTGTTGGAGCAAGTCCAGAGGAGGGCCACGAGGATGATAAGAGGACTGGAGCATCTCCCGTATGAAGACAGGATGAGAAAGTTGGGGCTGTTCAGCCTGGATAAGAGAAGGCTGCGTGGAGACCTCATAGCAGCCTTCCAATATCTGAAGGGGGCCTACAAGGATACTGGGGAGGGACTCTTCATTAGAGACTGTAGTGGTAGGACAAGGGGTAATGGCTTTAAACTTAAACAGGGGAAGTTTAGGTTAGATCTAAGGAAGAAATTCTTCACAGTGAGGGTGGTGAGGCACTGGAGTGGGTTGCCCAAGGAAGTTGTGAATGCTCCAACCCTGGAGGTGTTCAAGGCCAGGCTGGACAGAGCCTTGGGTGACACAGTTTAGTGTGTGGTGTCCCTGCTCATGGCAGGGGGGGTGGAACTAGATGATCTTAAGGTCCTTTCCAACCCTAACTATTCTATGATTCTATGAAATAGAAGGCCAACTGCTCCTAAAGTCTCATGAAGAAGTTTCAAAATCTTAAAGTTACTGTAATTTTAAATAAAGAATGCCACTTGCAACAATAATTGGAGTTAAAAAAGGTGTGAGGTTGGTTTAACTTTGATGGCATAATGAGCTTTCAGCATGCACATTAACTTCTCACTTATACAGCTTCCAATTCCACAGCAGTTTCTCTAGCCAAGCAGTCTGAACTTAACTGGAGACAGGAAAAAAAGTGCAAAAACTCAAGTAAAATAGAATTAGAAACTTATCCCACTGTTAGCACTGGGCATAGTGCTTAGCATGAATACTTCTACCAATGCATATGCCTGAAGAATGAAAAACTACTAAAAAAATTCATACTTAAAAAGTTCTAAACATCTAATTCATACATGATCATATTTCTGAAGCCTCTTTTTTAGTCAACATGGGTAATAAAAGGACAAGCAGTATTATCTAGATCAAAGTGAAGTTCAAGCCTCCAATAGGCAAGCATGAAATTCTCTACCACCAGTAAGCCTCACAATAATGACCACAGGACTTTAGATACACATTTTTAAGCAATAATTAACTTAGTGAATATTTTCTTATCCAGTTTCTGCAACGGATCTTGATCAGCTCTTGGAATGAAATTTTAGAACACCAGCTTTTCAATGCAGTAAGAATTCCATTCAAACTCTGCTGCAATCATCTGGCAACAAGAACCATAGTTGAATTCACATTCATAAATGAAAGCCAAGTATTTTCAATTTGGCACTTCGATTGTATGGACTGTCTTTCTCCGATACAGAAAGGATTCATGTCATTTTTTCTTTTCTCCAGCCCCTGCTCCCCAGGCACGCTTCTATACCTGCAGCTCCCCTCCACTTTGCCTCTTCTGTACGTTCACACTTCTATCAATTAATGGAACTACCATATTTGATAGAGCATGTAACCAAGATTTAACTGAAGAGCTGAGTGTCAAGCTAGAAGTTCCTCTTGGAACAAAAAAAGGAAAACAAAACCATCATATATTCCATCACCCCCTGCTCTCCCCGCCGTCCCAAAAAAAAAAAAACCAAAAAAAAAAAACCAACCCACCAAAAAAAACCCAACCCCATAAAACCCTAAAGAAAACAAACCCACAAAACAGTGGAAGTCTACACACGGGAAAATGTCCTCATTTACTCTGAAATCAACTGACTGCAAAGCTGTGAGCTTGTTTAATTAGAACTTATGATATAAAATTCTACAGGGAAATGGCACATTGCCAAGGTAGCCAAGAATGACAATCTCCAGTAAAACTTGTGGAAGCAATGAAATAATCTCATGGGTTTCTTACAGTGGAACACACTTCAAGCATGAGGAATACTGACTATTCATCTATAATTTTAAAGTCAGTGTCCTCCAACAGATGCATATGAAAAAGAAAGTGAAATATTTTTGGCTTATTCTTGAAAGAACTTCCACTTGCAAAATCTCCTTTACACATCATCTTCTGCTATTTCTCAGACATTGATATTCCGAACAGCACTGTCATGGAGCAAAGGCTGTGGTCTAAAACCCTGATAATAAGCAGCAATAAATTTGATAGAGATTCCAAATCACCAGCAGAAATTCACAACAGTCAAAGAATCAAGAGTTGCTTTCCACTATCTAAAGCATGCTCCTTAGGGTCTAGACAGATGGACACCTTTCAGCCCAATTCCCCCCATTACTGTATAACCCCAACAATCTGGGGCTAGAACTTTTATTGAGCCAATAGCTAAAAAAATTGTTTCTGAGTTGTGAAGTTTAGGGCTAATGCTACAAAATATTAGCATTAGACAAGCTATATTCATGCATTTTTTGATCGTACCTTTTGCTTCCAAACAGGGCATTTCTGATTTTGAATAAGTACTACACTGCAACTTCAGTGAAACAAAGGTTAAGTAACAGAATAAATTTTCCAAGAAATGCTAGTACCCAGAATTACAACAAGGTAATTTTTTTTCTAGGCAAAATATTTCCAGAACTGGCTAAAGCCAAAGCGAGAACTGAACAAGATTAGAAATTCAGTTAGATTTGAGTAGACTTGTAATAGCACCAAGTAGGGTTTTTTGAGGTTTTTTTTTTTTTTGTTTTGTTTTTAAATAGTCCAAGTCAGCAGCTTCAAGGCAGTTAATAATGGCAACTGGGCCTTTCACTTTCAAAGCTGTACTTCCAAAAGCTGTTGACTGGCTCCTGGTTTCGCATAACCACTCAAGTCATAAGCTAATGTAATTCCTTCTCTTCATATAGTTATCCGACATAAATATCCATGCTAAAATCAGATATAGAGATCTGATCCTGCACCTAACAGTGCTTTTCTACAACAGAAGCTTAAGTACACTCTGGTGATACCAGACCAGAAAATAGGAGCTTTTTCTGAAGTACTAGAAAGCCAACAGATTTCATGATTTCTACTGACATCTTGTTTCATGTGTGCATCAAGACCCAATACACTGCACCTCACCATTTCTGCACTGAGTTCTAAATTAGACTATAACAAGTTCTGAAAGCAATGTGCAAAGGGGTGGAGGGAGGCATGGTGGGGGGATGGGAGGGAAGAGGATGAGCGAAAAGTTGCATAGTACTTAGCTGCAGACTGGGGTTAAACCACAACAGTGGAGAAAAACGTAGGCTAAGAGGGTGGATTAGATTTCACAGCAAGTTGGGCAAAGATGGGAAAGGAAAAAAGGATGCTTATCTGCACTTGAAACAAGGAGCAAATTCTAATCAAGTTCCTCTCCCTTCAGGGACCCATTTTCTTCAGAGAGGTTGTACACAAAAGGTACACCTTGTCAAGAAGATTTCTGCAGGCTAGAAGGAAGAGTTTATGCATTCAATACTTTCCTAAGAAAATTCCAAAAGCAGTATTACAGCCTTCTGTATCAGTAGATGTATAAAGCTTGCCAACAAGAAATCCAAGTACAGGTTTCACCTTCAAATTCAAGCTAAGGTGCTCTACCTGATGTGGTATGCTCTATTTGAAGTCTTAGAAAAGGTAAGGCTGAGGACGGGATCTAATTACTTTTTGATAGTTGGTTAGACACATTGATAACAGTAGTAACAATGCTTGCTATGTAAAGGCAACAAGTAGTAATTTACACTAAACAAATACCCACCCATCCCTCTGCTAAAGTTTACTTCCTCAAAGACTACAGTTGAGCGCTTTCTTATAGGGCCAAATTCAGGCTTAACCATAAGAAAACTCTCATAGTCCTTAGATATAATGTGCAGCCTAACTCAACCTAAGTTAATTACTCACATAAGCAAAGCGTGAAGAAATTGGGTAAGTCTTAAAGATAATTATGAGCACTATCTCACACCAACAAGTTGGCTGGTTTTTGGGGTGAGGAAGGGGAAAGACAGGACTCCTGAAAAGTATATGCTGTGAGGCTGAAAGGATGTTTATCCACTGGGCCTCCCAGACTAAGGCACACCATAATTCTTTGTGGAAGGTACAGAAAGGAGAGGAGGCAGATGGCCTCCCAGAAAAGAGAATCTGAATTGCTTCAGCCCATGTTTCCTCAAAACAACAAACAAAACACACCCCTAAACTCCCCCAAAGCAATCTTGGCTGTGATTTGACTGCACTGAATGACTGTCACTTGTACGGAGTTAAGTCATGAACATTAAGAACAGAGATGCCTTATGCACAACAGGTAAAAGCACTGAAAAGATTGAATCGTGTCCAGCAATTTCAATTACCTGACCCCAAGCACTACTTAAATATTGGCTGGAAATAAAACCATCTTTTTTTGCAGTTCCTATACACAGAACATTCCTATCATCAACACCTAAGAATTACCAACAGGCCATCCTGCAAAATAACGTTAAAAATTACCTAGTGGACTGCATTTGTCTTGTAGTCTCTGGGTCCTCGAACATCTTGACAATAGGTTCAGTTTCAGCTTGAAGCTGCTTCAGCTGTGCAACAACAGTTGTTCTCTTCTCACGCAAAGCTAAACACACAAACAAAAAAGACTTAGGTGATGCATAAGTTTTTAGAGACACCAACCTGTAATTATCTGGTGCTGACAGCACAGATGAACACATGTTCCCAATTCCTACCTCAACTGTTCTCTCAGTCAAGTCACAAAACCAGACGTATCTAACAATTCAGTAACTTAAAAAAAGCTGCTACCTTTTGGTTCCTTTCCTCCTGTGCAGAGTTCTAATCAAGCCTCTGAAGAGCAGGTATAGCTGCAGCAGAGTCGGTATTAGACAAGCTATTTTCAGGCTTCCACTAAGGCAGAAACAAGCTTTTAAGTTCATTTATTGCAAACAAACTTGGAAAGAAGTAAATAGTGCTGTAATACAAATAATACTAATTTTCCTTTAACTGACCAGGTTCTGAAAGCACATTTTCAGAAAACTTTAATGACAACTGATAGGAAGAACTTAAAGCAGCTCAATCTGCAAAATCACAATTTAGAACACTATGCATGCTTAATTAGAACATCAAACTTCTTATGAAAAAAGGTGAGGAAATGGAACCAACTACTTTATGGTGATTATTTTATAGACCCAAACTTCCTCACCAGCTGCTACCAGTGCAATAAAAATGAACACTTAAATAAAGCTCAGAAAATCCCAAAACAAACCCCTAAAAAGACCCCAAACAGTAGCACCCTGAGACTGGCTATATAAGTCAAGAAACATATGGGGTCAGAGAAGCCGAGACCATATCCCAGAAGAGAACAGTATGCAGGAAACAAAGTGATCCATACACCAGGACACTCAATGCCACAGTGAACCTATTAGACATCTCTTTCGTGATTTGACTACATACACGTATTTGAAAAACAGGGTCTGAAGTGACTAACACCATAATGGTGACCCAACCTGAATTTAAGAATGACTTGCCTGATATGAAGTGTTCTAATAAGGAGAAATTATCTCCAACTTCAGATGAATCTTGAAATTATAAGAGAAAGGGCAAACAAATGACAGAAAATACATTCATTTAAGAGTACAAAAGTATTTTCCTGTGATATCTCCTGGCTGTGTAATTGTAAGCTGATCTCATGGAAAAAAAGAAAAAAGCAATAATAAATTGTGCAGGGGCATTTCTAAATAAAATAGCATAAGTGAACTTAGCTTCGAGTACTTAAATCAGTGAGGTCTTCAAAAAAAAAAAAAAAAAAAATCAGTATAAAATTCTAATGAAGCCAGCAGTTCCACAAGTGAGAACCACCTGTCTGTACACACATTCTGGCAAGTGTTGATGGATGAATATGACACATCAGAAAGATCTCAGAGCAAGTTAAGATCTTCTCATAGAAAGCTGTACAAGCAAGCACCCTGAACTGACTGCATGTGAAAGTACTACCTCTGCTTGTGTTAATTTTACACTGTTAAATAAGAGTCATAGATTAAATAGGAAGTCACCATATGAAAAACATTTTGCCAATCTTACGATGTAAAATCTTAGAGATGCTTGAAACTAGCATTACAAAAACATTACAAGCATGGAAACTGTTTGACTGAAGGCAAAGCTCTTCCAGTGATCAAATTCAATCAACTTATTTGCAGCTATGCCCTTACAAAATCTATCTAGCAACCTGCTTAAGCAAGTGGCTGTAACCAAAACAGTAAAGACATTAGACTAGTTACCTTGTGAAAGCGTGCTAGGACTGCTATTTCTTGTGCTGCTTATTATTTTAACATTTTACTACTCACTTACTGCTGATAACAGTTAACATTCTTCAAACAGTTTAGAATGGCTGAAGAAAGGAAAGAAAGAGGAAAACCTATTCAGCTTTGAGATTTTTACAGCCCTGAGATAGTCTTACTTTTTTTGACCAGTAGTACGGGTAAGTAAACCTAAGGGTGAAGCTATCATTACAACTGTTTTAGATTATAAAAGTGAAAACCTCTGGTTCTAATTATTTGTTACCAGTCCCACGCGCCATTACATATACACCCATGAACAACATCTAATTCTAGCATATCAAAGATTTGGCCACACATTGAATCCAGTGTCCATAAATCCATCAATTCTCTTCATGTATTTCCAAAGACACTACCTGCCAACTTTGCAGTTGCAAGAGCCTGAAAAGAGTAAGACCCAGAGGCAGAACAACTGCTGCATCTTGTATTTGACTATGCAAAAGCACTCAAATCTTCCTCCTAAACTGCAGGCAAGACAGACTGTAATCCCACTAATTTAGAAAGGATAGGAATTCCACAGAAAAGAAAAATAAAAAAGATGACAGAATTATGAATAAAGTTGTGTATTTAAAGACTAGGGTTAGGAAGAGATTTTAAAAAACACAACACACCAAGAAACAAAAAAAAAAAAACCCACAACAAAAAGATCAGTAGGAAAAACAGAAATGAACAAAAAACCTCCCCCTGCCCAGCCAAAAGAAAAACCCACAAAAAAGCAAACCAATAGAACAAAATAAATAATATCAAGAAAACCCCAAGACCAAACATTAAGGATAGAACTTAGTGAAAGTGAGTTATACAAATTTCCCCCTTCCTATGCAAACACTCCTGAGGAAAATAGAAATTTAAGTAATGAACAAGTTGCCAAAATCATGGAGAAGACAGTAAGAGATTTAACATCTGGATTCATTATAGTTTTAAATATAATTAATAGAGAAACATCAATTTATATGTAGAGTAAGGAAAAAATGCATTCTCAAAAACATCTGTATCTCCTCAAAGTCTAGAAATCAGTCATGGATAGACCAATTAATAGAGTTACTTACAATAGAAATCCAGCCTTAATATATTGGATGCTTTAAAGAAAAGAAGTCTAGTAACCCTAAGTAATTGTGTAATAATGTTTAATTTGGCAGATGAAAACTAAGTGTGACTCTCTTAGGCTATACCTTCAAAGTGCTTGAAATTAAAATTCAAATACTTCAGACATAACTCAAAGACTAAGTTCCTAATAGGCTAACAAACCCAAACCCAGGATTAGGGGATTCCATTTGTTTCAGTATTGCACTTCCTTTCACTAAGGCCAAAATTAAACAGTATTCTATTTTTCAGTGCAACAAGCAAGTTACCACTAGTATTTGTTTTAGACAGAAAGGTTGTAAAACAGATTTTACTTCTAAATGAACAGCTTACCATGTGGAATTTCATCAGAATAAAGATTTTTGTACACATCCATAGCAAAATCCACCATGTTGGTATCACTAAGGAGATCCAGCTTTCCTTGGAGTAGCTCTTTTTCATTATATATCTGAAACAGGAATTATTAACAAATTTCTTTGAATACTATTAAATAATTTCCAGTTTATATTATGTAGCTACCCTTATGGCACAGTTTATGTATTTTTCTGTCCCAATTAAATCATTCTCAACATCAAATTTCACAGCTTTACAAGATCTCACAGCTCTGTTATTCAGTGTGCTTACTACACAGCCTCTGTATATTTCTGATCTTGTTAAGATATCAGTAAAAGTAATGAATACTTTCCACAAAATAGCATATCAAACAGTGCAAACCAGTCAAATAATCTTAAGTGGAACCTTAAGAGATACTCAAGAGCAAACTTTTAATTTAACTGTAGCATAGAGTAATCTAAAATACATTGTTAGGTGTATAGCATAAGAGCAAGTTTAGTTTAGCTTGTGTAATTGGATGTTGTTCTTTTAAACTTTGCAAATTGGTTTTCAAAATTCCTTCCCCATAATTTAGCCATGAGCTGTAAACTGCTATTATGTCTTGAAGATGTAGGTAGAGGCCTAAACTAGAGCACACCTCAAAAATATATTTGCATGAAGGCTGTACTACAACTCACCACAATCATAAATTTCCCAGATATACAATCTACAAAAGTTTAGCTCAGCTCTGAACAGCACCTTGGGCGAGATTAACACTACAAAAACAACTCTGCTTAAGTTGACTTATAAGAGCCAAAATATTCAAAATACCCCCGGAGATGTCAGATATCGAGCAAAGTCCATACATTACACATGCAAACGGTCATGTAGTCAAGTTGTCCCAAAGCATACATGCTTAATTAGTTCATTTCTAAAGCCTAAAATAGTACTTATTTTAAATTCAAAGCCTATTTTACACATTTTATTCCCATTTTAAAATGGATCACGAGCTCTTCAGATATTTTAGACTAAACTCTCATCAATGTAAATTATCTCCCGCATTAGCACGTTCTCTGCAATATTATAATTAAAAATATATATAAAAAGACCAAGGTGGGATACGCTATGAGAGACTTACACTTGGTTTAAACATAAATTCGTGATGACAACGGTTTAGAATTAAAATTGCTTATCAGCACTGTCT